GATAAGCCCCAACCAGAGATAGGCTGTGCCTCAATGAGACCCATGGGATAGGGCTGAGGGTTGGAATGCAGCCTAACTTGAGTGGGGTGTGCATGTGGTTTGGTTGCACCTAGGTAAGGTGGAAGGAGACCAGGTCAAAAGCTAGGAGGCAGGACTTACCAAGGAGGGATTAAGTAAAAGTAAGACAGACTGGCAGGTCTAGAGTGCAGGTGGGGCCTAACAGGGATTTGGATGCCTCCAAGAGAAGCTGAGTAGAACCCAGCTATCATTTCAGGGGACCAGGCTTGGGAGAGGACTCCAGAGCCAGATCTCAGAAAGAAGTCAACCCAAGAAGGGTTAAGGCTGGCCCAGTGTGGTGGCACACACCTGCAATCCCCAGAGGCTGAGGCAGGAGGATCATTGCGAGTTCCCCAGCCTGGGCTACAAAGTGAGTTCAAGGTCAACCTGAATTGTACAGCAAGACCCTGTCTTAAAAAAAAAAAAAAAAAAAAAAGACCCTGTCTCAAAAGGGGAGAGGGTAGGCCTAAACCTAGCCAATCTAAGGAAGAGAGCAATGTCAGATCAAGAGTGGCAGGGCTAAGTTGGAGGTGTGGGGCCAGGAAACACCAAGGTAGGTAGGAAAGGGTTGACATGGATGGGGTAGGACTTGGCTAGAGCCAGGCTGAGACCATCCAGCCCCTTGTCCTACCTCATTCAGGGCCTGTCTGTCAGCTTTAGGCAGGTTCTTGGACTGGTTGTCTGCCATAGCCCATTCACGCATCACCTGGGGGTGGGACAGAATTTCAGGATCCCATAATCCACCTGATTCATCCATCAAGTCTCCCAACCTCTTGTCGAGACTTTGGAGGACACAGAACCCTAAAGTCCCACTAGCTCTTGTGTTCCCAAGAGGAAAGTTCTAGGGGGAGTTTAAAGTGGAAGTGTACCATGGGCCAGAGTTTCCAGAGAACCTGGTAGCATCTCATTGGGATTCTAGGGATCCCTGATCATCGCAAGGGGTGGCTTTAAGGTGTTAGGATTGAGGGAGTTTGGGAAGTCCTCAGATATGTGAGCATAAGTGGGTTCCTCAGGAAATTTTTGGCATTTTAGGGAGCTCTATGATGGGGATGGTGGGTTCTTGGGCCCCCAGTATCCACCTCATTAATCTGGCGCATCCTGCGTTCCTCCAGGTCCATCTTGGCCCTCAGGAACCCCTCGTGCTCACTGATTTCCCCAGGCATGCCGAAATAAACATCCACACCATCAGTGGGCCTTGGGGTTGGAGTGACTGCAAGACCATAAGGACCAGGAGGTTGGCCTGTAGCGTACCTCCAGGTTGCTTTCCTACCTGAAGAAACTCATTTCTTAGAGTGCATTGGAGATCATCATGTATCCAGTTGAGCTATCAGTGCTGCATCATGGGAGAAGTAATTCTGGACCTGGCCTGTACCTGAAAAGCTTTCACTATCTTCTAAGCTTTCCTCAAATGACCCTTAGGACCTACCAAATGGGCCCTCCATTTCCAAGGATTCCCAAAATGCCTTGTGCCTTTGCATTCTTCACGAGCTGACCCTTAGTTACTTCTATCTTTTCCATTTCCTCCTACCTGGGGCCTCTCTCCCACAGGTCCCCCCTCAAAGGCCCCTATGGAAGACCCCCCAAAAAAATCACCCTTTCCTCAGTGGTGGAGAGGACTGAGAGGACTACCTTACCTTTGCTGATCACAGCAGGGGTATGGGAGCTTGGGAGTGGGACTCTTTCTTCCTCTTCCTCTTCAGCCTGGGGGGGCTCCACAAAGTAATCATCTACTGGCTGTAGGAAGGATTCTTCCTCTTCCTCATCTTCACCCCTCTCTGCTCTGCCCCCCAAGGGCCAGGACCTCGTGGATGGGTCACTGAGGGAGAGGAAACCCAGGCAGTAGGATCCTGAGCATAAGCCCCAAGGCTTCCATCCTCTGCCCTAGGAGCATTAGGATGGCCACTCACCCAACTTCTGTCCCAGATGGGTTGGAGGTCACCGGAGGGGGACAGCATACATATTCCACACCTCGGAACCGATCCTCCCCACAGGGCAAAAGCATGCCTGAGCCATGCAGGATGAGGCCCTGGGAGCTGCAGGCCTGTGGGAAGAGCGGGCCCAGATGCCAGGACTGTGAAGTAGAAGGGTGTAGACTGGAAGCCTGGATGCCTGGGTCTTGGGGGCTGATAAGGCTGGGAGCCTGGATTCCTGGTTCTGGAGGAAAGGGTTGGAGGATGGAATTCCCAGATCCCAGTGGGAACAGGGAGCTGTAACAAGACCCCTAGATCTGGTGAGAGAAGGTGTTAGGAGCATGGACTCTGGGGTTCCAGTGGGGCATAGGTGGGTCAAGGTCCTGACCTCCTGTGCCTCCTGATGCCTCCGGTTTAAACTTTCACACTGGTCCATGCGTTCTTGGTGCAAGAACCGGCAGCCTTCCGGCACCAGCAGGGCTTTGCTCACAAATTCACCGGCTGAGGAATGGGGGACACCAGAATGAGATTCTCCCCCAGTCACCAGCTCCACCCTTGTCAGAACCCAGATATCTTGTCCTCTGAGGCTTCTCTGCCCCGTTCTGGACCTGACACCTAGCCCCCTAATGTGGGCCAGAGAGACAGGGCTCTGAAACATTTCCCAGAAACTCCCACCTCCATTTCCCTCTCCCAGCCTGTGACTCACGCAGGCAGCGGAAGCGCACAACCTGGTGGTGAGGGTGGGCACAGCGGCCAGTCCGGCTCCCCCCACACCAACGCTCCATAGGGATGGCCTGTGCCGCCTGCTCCACACGGGTAATGTGCAGCTCCGGATACATCTGGGGGTACCAAGGAGGGACAATCAATCCACTATCCTGCCCCTGCCACCCACCCTTTTCCACTGGTCATGTTCCTTTTTAGGGTGTGTCCTCCACTCCTATACTGAGCTACATGCCTAGCTCTTCTATTATCTCTGTATTTGTTTTTTAAATTTTGTGACATGGGCTTGATAGGTCGCTATATTACCCAGGCTGGCCTCAAACTTGTGATCCTTCTTCTTTGACTTCCCAGGAATGCATCACTGCACCTGTCTCAAGACTCTAGCTCTCATAAGGACATGTCCCTAGACTCTGCTTCCCACAGAACCCATCTAAGGTATCGAAAGTCTCCCGTGGTCTTTGGCCACCATCCTCCCCTCCGTAGGCACTTCTTTTCCTGTCCAGTTGCTTCATGAAGAGCCTTTCATCTGCTTATAAATTCAACCTCTGTAAACTCACTTCTCTGGTCACCCTCCAGAATCAGGTTTTCCTCTCCCTAGATCTTTCCCTCCTCCAAACCCTTTTGGTTTGGCCTCTCAGTTAAGTACTCCTCTTTTTTACACCCGCCTTCTCATAGCCACGCCTCCCGGTTATCCGCTTGCTCATTGGGCCCCACTGCTCCCTTCACCCTATCTTGCTGCCCCGTGCGTCTCTTGGTATTAGCCCCACCTCTCCGCTGGCCACGCCCACCTATGCTCGTACTTTTACCAAGCCCACCAGATTTCTAAACCCAGTTCTTCCCCTGACCATCTTCCTTAGAAGGCGTCTTTGCACAGCTCTCTCTTCTCCAGACTTAAGTTTCTCAAATCAGGTCCTGATCTCGCCGCTTCATTGGCCACGTCTCCCAATTCCTTTTGCCGCTTTAGATCCTGCGTCTCCAAATGCTCTGCCTTTAGAGAATCTAGCGTTTCACAAACGACTTCACCTCATCTGGGACCCACTCCCCCGCCGCGCACGCCTCTTCTATAGGCCCCGCCCACCTGTCTGCAGTACTCCAGCACGCGCTGCGGGTCCCGGAGACAGCGTCGTGAGAGCTGTGGATCTGGTTCCCAACGGCCGGTGCGCAGGTCTCGGTGAAGCGTTGGGAGCCCACATAGTCCTGCCACCTGAGCCAACCCCGGAGCCTAGCCGTGGAGGTGGAAAAAGCAGCAAAGGCCCGGGGGTCATTGGCATATGGGTTCCCAGGTTCATTGCTCCCTAAGATCCAGAAATTCAGACCCCCAGCTGCAGTCCCTTTCCCCCAAGCACTCCGCACCCGCCTTCTTGGAAAACACGGTTTCCTGGGAAACAGCTCCTGCAGGGAGGGGGCGCCGCAGCTCTCCCGTTGCTATGGCAACCCAGGTCCCCCCCCCCCAGGGTTTCTTGAGGCTTGTTGCTGCGGAGACAGACTCCGCCCCCACCCCAAAGCAGTCGCTCTGGAACTTGAAGGGGTTAAGCCTGAATCGTGGGGGAGGAGGCCTGAACCCAGGCGTTCTGGCCCCTCCTCCCTCCATCCCTAGTTCAGGCTTCCCATTGCGGGGGTGCAAAGACCACAAGGCCTGGCTCCCAGCAGGCTTGGACACAAGGGCCTTGAGGACTGTGGAGCTACATCCTGGTTGGGTGTAGTGGCTGGGGGCCGGGATTCCTGGGTCCTGAGACTCTGCGAGGACCTTTATTTGGGTACACAGGGTGCAAGGGGCCTGCATTCTCGGATCCTAGTGCCTTGCTGCCTAGTGGGTCTTATGTTCAAGTGGGAAGGTGTTGAGGCCTAGTCTTCTGGAGTGAGAGCGTCTAGAGGGGTAGGCTGGACTTCTGGAGCCAGGGTCAGAAGTGGGTAGGATATCAGCTGATGGAGGAGCCCAGACCAGGAATCCTGGGTTCACGAATACCTAGTGCCGTCAGGGGCGCCTGGGGGCGGGCCACCTGACTGAAAGGACTGCGCTTTCTGCCCTGGACACGTCCGCGTCGGGGTCCTGAGGCTCGATCCCGCACCTTCCCTCATCCCCCAGGACCCGGCCCGGCCTCACCTCGGCCTCGCCAGTGCTCCCACCGGCCTGGCTCCCGACGGCGAGCTGCGCGCGCAGAAGCAGAAGCAAGAGTGGCAGCAGCAGCGGCAGCGGCGGCGGGCCCGGGCGGCGGCCCGCACCGCGAGCGGTGGGGCTCGCGGGCCCCATGTCCCAGCCCTGGTGCCCTTAGGTCCCCTGCGCTCCCGCCCGGCCCGGCCCGCAGCAGGCACTTACCGGACACAGTCCCCGCCGAGAAGACCCGCACGGCCCCCAGCAACAGCAGCAGCGGCAGCGGCGGCGGCCGCGGCAGAGGCGGACGAGGCGGAGGCGGACGAGGCAGAGGAGGCCGAAGAGCCGGAGGGCGAGGCGGAGGGCAGCGCCGCGCCCGCGGCCGCGGGCATGGAGGGCCGGCTCAGGATGTCGTTGATGCCGTGCGGCGTGGCGGCCGAGAGCTGCTGAGGGGCGCTGCCCAGCGCCGAGAGCCCGCCCGCCGCCGGGGGCTTCAGGGCGCCGGGATTGTGCGCGCCCAGTGGCGGGGACGGCGAGGACGAGGAAGACGAGGACGAGGACGAGGGCGGTCCGGCCGGCAGCGGCGCGTAGGCGGCGGGGTAGAGCGGCGCCTTCATCTCGGCCATGCTGTGCAGCGCGGCGAGCGGCGGGCTGCCGAGCAGGAAGGCGCTCTGCCGGGGCCCGTCCATCGCGCCCGCCGCCAGCATCCCCGGCCGCGCTCAGGGCGCGT